GTTTATTTATACTATTATACTCTTAAATATATATTTATACTCTTATATGTATTTATACTATTATATAAATATACTTATATATGTACATATTTATACTCTTATATATATAGGGAGAGGTTCAAATACAAACCTCACTATCCTAAAAACTAAAAACCAATCCTCTCCATTGGATCTAGATTCATCCAATGGCTGAGATTAAAGCTGCATAAGGGTAATTAGGTAAAATAAACAGCCCACTAAAGAGAGGTAATTAATGCTTCTTATTGAGTTCTCCATTTTCCCATGCAACTCTCCTCTCACGTTCTCCTCTCTCTCTCTCCTCCATTTCCCAAAAGCTTGAACCAGCCCCCTCTCTCTTGGTAGGTGTTATTTTCTTGGTAGGTGTTATATTTTCTTGGTAGGTTATATTCTAAGTTTGATTTGATTCTTGGTAGGTGTTATTTTCTTTTGATCTGATCATGGTTTTGTTCTCGTCATGTATTGGGGATGATAGAAAGAGGGGATCCATGGCCAAGAGTTCCTTCAAGCTCGAGCACCCCCTCGGTTCGTCACGTTTTTCTTTAATTTCAATTTGATTTTGGTTTCTTTTTAGGGTAATTGTTGAAGTTGCGATCTTGGTTCTAGGATTTGTTTTAGCTTGGGGTTTCTCTTATACTCGATCTTGGTTGTTTGTTTTGTTGGATTATCTTTCAAAATTTGCAATCTTTTTTAGGGTTTCTATTAAAATATTTTAGAAATTGCAATCCTGTTAGTTTTTTTGTTAAAATTGGTTAAAGTTCAGAATTTTAGTTGTGGGGTTTGTTTTAGTTGCTGTCCTAAATAATTGAATTCACTGCAGTGAATCGAGATTCACTGCAGTGAATCGCCGATTTTTGCTGTCCTAAATAATTGAATTCACTGCAGTGAATCCAGATTCAGTTATGTGAGGTGTTTGTTTTTACCATAAAAATTGTAACTTTTTGCTTAAAATCATCAAACACGTTCTATAAATGCATGAGTGAATCTCGATTCACTGCAGACTGCAGTGATTGTTTTTACTTCAATAAACGCATGAGTGAATCTAGATTCACTTCAGTGAATCTCGATTCACTGCAGTGAATCCAGATTCAATTATGTGAGGTGTTTGTTTTTTACCATAAAAATCATAACTTTTTGCTGTAAAAGGTGAAAATTTTTCATGTTATAAAATTTTATAGCTTGTTTTTTACCATAAGTTTCTTATTCTGCTTGGATGGTTAGAATGATTCACAAATCCAGTGGAGCAGCAAATCGATTGGAGTGAATCCAGATTCAATTCGTTGGAGTGAATCTGGATTGATCTTATTTTGCTTAGATGGTTAGAATGATTCACAAATCCAGTGGAGCAGCAAATCGATTGGAGTGAATTCAGATTCAATTCGTTGGAGTGAATCTGGATTGAAGACCACTTCAGTGAATCCAGATTCATTGCGTTGTTGTGTTCTTCATGTGAGATTTACAGAGATCGGGAAGTGAGTTAGAGAGAGAGAGTATTAAAGAATGTAGCACTATTAATGTAAGAGAGAGTATTAAAGGACGTGTATTAAATTTGTATCATTGTTCCAATGTAATCAGTCACCATTAATGCAATGAATTGTTCCAATTTTACCCTTTTCACATTAATGCGGTGTATTAAATTTGTCTATATTTACAATTCTGCCATCGAAATCTAGGCCATTGGATGAAATAGAATGTAGGGTTAGGATTGGTTTTTAGTTCTCTAGGTTTTTATTAGAACCTCTATATTTGTATATATATGTGTATATATGTGTGTGTGTGTACACACACACACACACACACACACACACACACACACACATACACATATATATACACATATATACATACACACACACACACACACACACACACACACACACACACACACACATATATATATATATATATCATATATAATATAATATATATATATCAGTGCATTTACACCTGCCGAATTGGGGCGTCGCACTTGGGGGAGCAGGGAGTTTTTGCAAAAATTGTCTCCCTACAGGCCTGTAAAGTTTTCAACTGAATCCATCCTAATTAACAAATAGCGGAAAAAAGCGGATAGTATGACAATTGCAATTTTTTTGATGGAATCATATACCTGCGGCGTCGAATCCTATTTTTGGGCATCCACGAAACAGATCTGGGGGAGTTGGGCACGAGATCTCGTGGAGTTGGCGCGCTCGACAGGAAGTCGACGCGCACGGAGAGGCATGAGCATCTGGGAGAGGAGCACGCGAACTAGACCCGGCGAAGGTCGACTGCTCGACCACAGATCTCGTCAACGGGGTGGGCGGCTGAGGCTCGCAGCACGACCGGCCGAAGTTCGACGGCGATCTCCCTCGGCGCGTTCGACGGGCGGAGAGCAGGAGAGCGCTTCGCGCGCGAGATTTGTGAGAGGACTTGAGATCTGAACATGACGAGGAGCAAGACTCATCGTCAGGATCGAACGGACGAGAGCACGAACTTCGTATAGAGCGATAACAATTTAGCGGAGAGTCGCGCGGTGACGACGGAGTGAGGAGAAAGGGATTTCTGAGATCAGTTTTTGGTTGAGAGAGAGAGGATTGTGGATAGGGAGAATGAGATCAGATCTGAGAGAGAGAATGAGTTTCGCCATAACATAAATGGGCGGAGGCTTGGGAAACAGCCTAGCCGAGACAATTTTTGCAAATAAACATCCCTCTCCCCCCAAAGTGCGTATCCCACCCATTCGCAGGTTAAATCCACTGTATATATATATATATATATAATATATATATATATATATATATATATATATATATAATATATATATATATATATATATATTATAAGTATATATATATATATATATATATATATATATAATATTATATATATATATATATGTTGGTGTTGTTGTCGTGTTTGTGTGTGTGTGTGTGTATATATATGTATATATGTGATATATATATATAGCGTTTTAATATTTTTTAATATTATTATTCGTATAATTATTACTTATAATTGTTATGATTACATTATGTACAGAGATTTGCCGTTAAAAAAACATTTTTTA